TATATGCATTGTTTCCTGATTAGATCGCCCAGAGGAAGCATATAGAGGGTAAATAAAATCGGTCCAAGAACAGAACCTTGGGGTACTCCGTGACACACATTGGTGGTCTTCGAAGATTCACCGTTTACAAGCACAAACTGGGATCGATCCGATAAGTAGGATTTAAACCAGCTGAGTGCAGTTCCATTGATACCAATCAAATGTTCCAGTCTCTGCAACAGGATACAAGGGTCTATGGCAGTGGTCCTCAACCACCGGTGGTCCTCAACCAGTGGTCCTCAACCACTCGCGGTACAGGTCCGCGGCCCGACAAGAAAAGAGATGAGTCCTTGGTCCGGTGCAAGTAAAAGATCATTCGTAATTTTAGCCTCTAGGACTTTACTTCCCACCTTCACAGACGTTGAACGGATGAACGCAGCAGAGAGCATTGCTACTCCTCCAGCTATGAATACAAACCTCACATAACCTCTAATGCTGGTTGGAGCTGCGTCGTCCAGCTGCTTCTTCAAGACGTTGTCTTTAGCCATTGTGGTGGAAGATTTTGCACAGACAATCGTTAAGTAAGAATCAAAGGCTCTGAGTCAAGTATGTCTTTTCTCCGTTTATTTCCTTGCAAGGGAAAAAGGGTCACAACAGCTACATGGTCAGTAGACTGTCAATAACCTCCTTTTTACCCCAACACATTGAAGCAGTTCTTATACCTAAATTTAGATATCGGTGGCGTCAACAGAAACCTTTGACCATCTTGTTGAGTATCTACAGCCAGGGTACTGGGAACATCTTGTCCATGTAAGACACGTCAGTTCTTTGACCGTATCCTTGCTCTCCCAACATGCTTAAACAAAGGTGGTCATAGACATAACAAACACTTTGTTCAATCTCTACAGCTATGACGCTGGAAACATCTAATCCAAGAGGGAGACATCAGTTCTTATGTCAGGGCCTTTGTGATCTAACCACTTGCAACTAATAAACTGGTTATACAAATGAAGCATTTAAAAGGGTCACATATCATTTTCCCATTGATCTCCTCCTGTGACGTGTTCCCTGATGATCGTCTGATGAGCTTTCTTCTCCACTCCACTGGTCCAGCGGGACGCCGGACATTTTGGTGTTTGTGGGGATTCAGGTTGGCGGAGGAAAGGAAGCAGGAAGCAAAGGTTTAAGTTTCGTTTCTCCTTGAAGGGGAGAGGCGGGACTCGAGGTCCAGTTCAAGCCTAAAGTCCAGTTAAATTCACTGTAAAATATGATTAATAACTCTGTGTAGCGTGAGTTCACACTGCATTCACACTGCAGTGATACACTGTAGCATTAGGCGTTTGGTTAAAGGCATCAAAAACATCAACAATGATAAATCAAAGTCTGTCAAAGTGAAAGGATCAAGCTGCAGCTTCTTACGCCTTTCAGGGTGGAGTGTTTTGTCAGTGACAGAACATTTTATTTATCAGTTGTTATTGGCAGCGTCTCTATTCAACTGTAAGTAAGTAGAGTGAAAACAATGAGGAGTATGTCTTTATTTGACTTTATTTTGAGACACAAATAATACAAATTACGGGTATTTGCTGTTTTGGGAATCAAGTTAAGATTCAAATGTAGTTCAGAATTAACACTGACATCATAAGTGTCGCTTACAAAAGGCTGTTTAACAGAACCATTATTCTCCTGGATCTGTAGTACAAAGGAATAAAGGCTTTGACTACATATGTAGATAATGTGAAAAATTCTGGGATCAATATATACATATATGATATTATCAAAGACAATTCATCCTTGGTTTTGAGAGAACATTTGAATTACATTAGTTGCGTTGACACAAGAGAAAAATAAAAGACAGAACAGTGAAGTAACACTCCATGACCCAGCAACCAATTTTAGATTAAAGATAATTAGTATCAGTATCATCAAAATAAGTATTTGTTAGATATTGTTTGCTAGTATTTACTTTTTAGTTACACTGTATTTTATGAAACTTAATCACAGCGATCTTACTTCCATTTGACGGGATCAACGACCTCTACAA